GCGGATAATTTATAAAAAGAGCGACGAAGGAGCGAGTTTTGTAATGGACGAGTGCGACTAAAGGTCTTATGACATGAGTTCTTTATGCTATTTTATCTATTTTGCAAAAATTCTATAAAAAAATTAATTTTATACCTTACATTTAATTTGGTCGAATTTTACTTTAGATAGTTGGTATCACAGTCATTGGTTTGACAGTTAATGTCAAAATCGATTCGCCATGCCGTCCTTAATTTACTTATTTACAATAAGAGGCTGTTAATGTTAGAAGAAGAAAAAAGGGATTTTCGTTGGTGTTAAACAAAATTTATTGCCAGAAAAGTCTTGTAAGTACTAGAAAAATCATAAAAATATTATAACCAATATGCAAAATATTATGCTGTTAAAGTATAGCCAAAATATAACATCAAAATTTTGAGTGGGATAAATTATCTCATTACTGCACCGAAAGCGGTGTAATAATGAAGTCATTATGAACGCAAAATAGATAAAATTATTTTATTATCTCAATAGAAAAATACAAAAGTATTAAATAATTTCCGATAGTTTCTTAACGCCAATATTTGAAAAGTTTAATTTCGCTGGCAAACTAGATTTAACTTTATTTCGGGTGGAGTGCCCATAAAACATTTTCATCACTTTTACTGTGAAAAACTGCTAATAAGTAGGTATTTGTCGTAGAAAAACTGTAGTATGCAACTTGTTTATAAACTTTTTTTAGACACAAGCTCGCTAGTGCCTAGTTAAAATTCGTTACTAAAATGAAACTTTAGAATGGTAAAAAGTAAAATACAAATTGTTTAATATTGTTAAGAACTTGTTTAACAATGTCAAAATAACCTAAGAAACATTTTAGAATGTTGACATTTTTTTTAATGGTAACCATTATAACGACCCTGCCTAACATCGGGAATAATGAACTCATATTTTCTTCGATTTAAACCAATTAGGTTTAAAATTGGTAAAAAGTGAGGTTGGAACCGAGATTGGAACTGACTAGGAGATGTCAGATTTTTTATATATACGAAAGAAGAGATAATGCGCATTATCTACTATTCAAACACATTTTGAAATGTACATATTTTATACGAGGTGTGTTCAGAAAATAACGGGAATTGTTAAATTTCGCGGGTTCGGAGGGTCCGGTTGTCATAAAATTTTCTTTATTATGTTGGTATACATGCCCCCAAAGTATGATAAAAGCTTTAGCTGTTTTCATTGTTTACTTTGTCTGTGGCAGCCGCTAAGGTTAGACGTGTTTTATGAGCTCGGTGATTTTTCGTTCGTTATCAAAGAATTTGTATCCAATTTTGCTTAAAAAATGAAATAAATTCTGTGAAATGTTAACAAAGGCCTATAGTGAGTCTGCTATAAGTAAAACAAGAGTTTACAAGTGGTATAAGAGTTTCCAAGATGGCCGTGAAGACGTTGAAGATGACGAACGCCCCGAACGCACAAGCACATTAACAACCGATAAAAACATGGAAAAAGTGGAAGAAATGGTTATAAACCATCAGAAAAGTCGCTGATGATGTTGGTATATCGATTGGCTCATCCCATGAAATTTTTTCGAATGTTTTGGGTATGAAACGCGTGGCAGCAAAATTTGTTCTAAAATTGTTGAATTTTAAACTAAATTTTTGGCCAAAAACAATACTGTAATGATGCCCCAGCCTACATATTCGCCAGACATGGACCAAAAATAAAGAGAACCTCGCCGTCGTTTTGCAAGCATAGATGACATTAAAAGCGCATCGCTGAAAGAACTAAAGGCTATCCCAAAGATCGAGTTTTAGAAGTGTTTAGAGTATTGAAAGAAGAGCTGGCACATGTGCATAATATTCAATGGGGACTATTTTGAAGACGACAACATTAATGTAGACGAATAAATAAATATTTGTTTCAAAAAACGAAAATTCACGATATTTTCTGAACACACCTCGTATAATTTAATTTAATGTAATATTTGGAAATATCAAATTAATTATTCTATTATATTTCACACATAGTAAAATTTTCTTAAGGGCGATTCCGTACTCGCGGGTGCAACATTTAGACTCACTTAAGGCTTCTTACTAAGAAAATAAAAACTCTTTTTAAAGAAATGACTGGTCGCAGGATTTCATTATAATCTGTTTTACAAAAATTAATATAAAAAACATTTAATAAAATGTATAAATAGACACAGGAGAGGTTCAAAGTGCTATCGCGGGTGCAACGAAATCGGCCCACCATTAAAGTTCATGAAGCTAGAATGAAAAAAGTCTGTTTATTATGGAATATTTATTAAATTATTTTTACATTCTCTAAAAGAATACAAAACAAACTAACTATTAACTTAAATAAAATTATTAAAATAAATAAATATTATAAATTATTCACTTTTTATCCAGTCGCGGGTGCAACATAAAATTATCGCGGGTGCAACACGTCTCACTGTAGTGAATATAAACATTTCCATGTAACTTTAAATTAAAGATATGAGATCATAGATGCTGTATTATCACTAATTAGCACTTTCCTATGTAACTTTAATAAATTATTTGTTTGGAATAGTCGGCGATTTATCAGCCTTAAGGTTTTCTTCAGAATCGCTGTAAACATCAGAAACGCCTAACTTTTGCGTAACTTTTTTTGTAACTTTTCTACGTTTTTTTTTTAGTAGCAGTTGTCAAAACTAATTTGCTTTTCAAATTAGACTTCGACGTTCGTGCAACACAAATGCTCTTACCCTCCTCAAATTGAAAAAAATGTTTTGATTAAATGGCTGGTATATTTTTTAGTCCTTTCCACCTATCATTTAACATGGTTTTTCATTCTTTAATTTGTTTTTGGGATACAAATATAAAAGAAATTTTTGGAGAAAGGCGACGAGCCAGATCATAAAATTCTTCAGCGTTGTTAACAATTGCTTTCCGAGCTCAATTATTAACCGCGGTTACTGATTTGACATTTTATGCAGTTAGCGGTTACTCGCTAAAATAGAATGGTTTTAACTTTTTATTACCGGCAGGGCCGGATTAGGAGTTTTAGGGCCCTGGGGCCGACATTTGGTGGGGGCCCTCAATATTTAAAAAAAATTTGACACTTGGGAAATTAAAACTCGGTAAATTTTTAAGCTGGATGAACTTTATGTGATTTTTTATTATCCTTGAATCATTTAGCGTTTTTAAGCTATAAATAAAAAACTCACACCCTGTATCTCGATAATGAAGCATTTTCGGACACGTGTTTATAAGAACCTTTTTTCATATTTTGATGAGGGAAATTTCGCCTGGGCTTTTGTCACCACAAGTCTAAATCACCCTGTATATTTGGAATAATACGAACATAACCTTATATACATTTTACCCAAGTCTGAATAAATTATAAATTCGTATGCAAAACTATAAAAACGTAGAAAGTAGAATAGAATTGTGAATGAAAGTGTTTTTATATACTTTATATTTTATTTATTTTGAATAATACGAATACGAATACATTTTAATCAATTAAAATATAAATTGATCTATGTTTTGTTTGTATTTTTAATACATACCGCAAACTGAAAAAAGTGCATCAAAGATCGTATTATTTGTCTGTTTTTCATACAAAATCAAACAATAAAACAATCTTTTGAACAAAGAAATGCACAAAACAGTATTTTGAAAACACCGGAAAATACTCCACAACACTCCAATGTACCAATAAAAATCTGGGACAAAAACTAACTTTAATATTAGATTATAAATAATTGACTTTTTGCCTGTATTTACAAAAACGTTACAACAAGCACTAAACGAGCAACTGCTTAAAATTGTTATGAGTCATAACTTATGACTATAGACTTTATAAAACGTCTTAGCGCGACAAAACTTTGAGTATGATAATTTACATTCTGATTTGCAAGCGGATAAGCGATAAAAAATCCGCGAAAAATTAGAGTTAGGTCTACGAAAAATTAATTGAAAATAAGAGGATTCTTGCGGTATAACCAATTTTTTTCATATTTGTTTCGTTAAAAAGCTACATATTGCATTGGTGGGGGCCCCTAAATGGTGGGGGCCCTAGGGCCGTGGCCCCGCTGGCCCCGTGCTAAATCCGGCCCTGATTACCGGTAACTCGCTAAAAATTCCCTAATGTAATCGTAAGAGTCATAACTGTTGCACCCGCGATTCTAATATTTTAATCGCGGGTGCAACTCATTTTAGTCAACGTTAATTTTAATTAAAATGACAACTTACGTTCTATTGCGACAGAATCAAGTTTTCCTTTTATTTCTTCTTACTTCTACAAAGTTTCAAAAAATTACCAATTTATTTCTTCAAGAAAACCAAACTTTCATTTCTTTTATATCGCGGGTGCAACTGACCAATAATGGTTTCTTATTTAATTAATATTGTTAGAAAAATAATAAAAAATATTTAATTTTTTTATATAAGGCAATAAACAAATGTTATGACTTCAATATTCATCAGTGAAATATAACCTCAAACCACCGGTAATAGCGATTTCGTGGAAAAATTATCAAGTGTCGATGAATAGTTTGCATCAAGTCTTCAGGCGCCACCATTTCTGAGCGCGCTAAAAAATTCAAATAATAACTTAAGTTCTTAAAAGTTTTTTTATTATTAAATATATATCTTTCTCTTTGTATTGGTATAAAAAAAGTAATAAACTCTGTGATTTAAAAATGTATGTCAAAAATCGTCTCCCGCGGAATCGCCCTTAAGTAAGTATTCTAAAAAAAATACAAAAACAATTAAAAAGTTGTAAAATAAGAATAAAGTTTAGGCAAATACCTAGCTAATTTATTTTTAATTGAAATGTATTGTTAAAAACTTTTACATTCCGGAATTTTAATTAATCCCAAGTAAATACATGATAAATTATCTCATACTGCTTTAAATCCCTCGTTACAAATATTTCACAATCCTTAAACGCGCTGTTATTAAAATCCCGAATCCATCTGGGGTTCAGTCTGCACAAAGCAGCCCAACGCACTCTCTGTGCCAATTTACCCTAATGAATAATTAAACCCTTCGTCGCTGAATGCATTGTTGATTGGTCTCGATCGGAGGAGGCTGTGCGGCCGCCTGCTACGAATCTCCTGCAGCCAGTTAAGAGTTCCTGCGTGTGTGTGTGTGTGCAAAGGGCATCGACCGGTTCCGCGTTTTGTGTTGCTACCCCAAGATTTCGTGTTTGGCAAAGCCCTCGCATCTCGTCTGTAGCCGATGGGTCCAAGAATAAGTATAAAAGCTATACTGCACGGGGGATGATCAAGAAGTAGCCAATCATTTGATATATTTATTGAGAACATGTACAATTTTATTCGTTGGTTTTGGACATTCTTAAGCGTGTTTTAAATATTCTTAAAGAAGTCTTAATATTCTAAAAGTTATTTTTTATTCTTAACTATTTAAAATAATTTGCCATTATATAATTTTTTAACATTTTATGTAACTCCAAAATTTATTTTTTGCATTCTAAAATATTTGTGTTTAGTTAAATAAATCATAATTTTCTTAGGTTGTTTTTGTCAGTTTTTTGGTTTTGGAATACTAAAATCAGGAAGACTATAGAAGGGCTAACATTACAAAATTTATTTTTAACAATCCAAAACGAGTAATTGTCATTCTTAAATAAATAATGTTTGGTTTTAGAATACTTAAATCAAGAAGATCAAGTACAGGAGAAGTAACATTTAAAAATTTATATTTGGCATTCTAAAATATGTTTTAAAGATTTCAAAACGGGTATTTGACATTCTTAAATAAATTATGATATTCTTAGGTTATTTTTAATATACTCTTTTTTTTAGTCTTGAAATACTAAAATCAAGAAGACTATATAAAGGAAATTTAAAAATTATTTTTGGCATTCTAAAATGTTTTAAGGATTTCAAAAGGAATATTTGACATTCTAAAAAAAATGGTTTTAAGAGTTGAAAACGAATATTTGAAATTCTAAAATAAATCATGCTATCATGTTATTTTTGACAGTCTTTTGGTTTTAAAATACTAAAATCATTGAGTAAAGAACACTTTACTCAATGCTAAAATCAAGAAGACAAAGTACATTTAAAAAAATATTGTTGGCATTTTTAACAATACATAACGAGTATTTCAGGTACTTAAATAAAACACGATACTCTTGGGTTATTTTTAAAATTATTTTTGTTTTTTAATACCTAAATCCAGAAGACTAGTACAGGAGGAGTAACATTTAAAAATTTATATTTGGCATTCTAAAATATGTTTTACAGATTTCAAAACGAGTAACTATTTGACATTCTTAAATAAAACATGATAATCTTAGGTTATTTTTTACATTGGTTTTGATATACTAAAATTAAGAAAACCAAGTAAAGGAGAAGTAACATTTAAAAATTTATTTTTGGCAATCTTAAATATATTTTTAACAATCCAAAACGAGTAATTTACATTCTTAAATAAATCATGTTTGGTTTTAGAATACTTAAATCAAGAAGTACAGGAGGAGAAACATATTTGGCATTCTAAAATATGTTTTAAAGAATTCAAAACGAATATTTGACATTCTTTAATATATCATAACATCCTTTTAGTTTTGGAAAATCAAGAAGACTACTTATATACAGGAAAGTAGTATTTAAAATCAAGAAGACTATATACCGGAAAGTAATATTTAAAAATTATTTTTGGCATTCTAAAATATGTTTTTAACAACCCAAAACGAGTATTTAACATTCTTACATAAATTATGATATTCTTAGGTTATTTTTAACATCATTTTAGTCTTGAAATACTAAAATCAAGAAGACTATATACGGAGAGTAATATTTAAAAATTTATTTTTAGTATTCTGTTTTTAAGATTTTAAAACGAGTATTGGAAATTCCGATTCTATGATTTTTTTGAAATTATTTTGCTTATATAATGTTAAAATTAAGATGACTAAATACATTTAAAAATGTATTTTTAGAATTCTAAAAAAATAGTTTTAAGATTTGAAAACGAATATTTGAAATTCTAAAATAAATCATGATATTTTTAAGTTATTTTTGACATTCTTTTGGTTTTACAATACTAAAATCAAGAAGACAAAGTACATTTAAATACTTAAATAAAACACGATACTTTTGGGTTATTTTTAAAATTATTTTTTATTTTTTAATACTAAAATCAAGAAGACTAAATACAAAAGGAGTAACATTTAAAAAAATATTTTTGGCTATAAAATATACTTATTTTTAACAATTCAAAAAGAGTATTTTTAAATAATTCATAATATTCTTTTATTTTTGGAATACTAAAATCAAGAAGACTAAATATAGGAGAGTAATATTTAAAAACTTATTTTTGGCATTCTAAAATGTTTTTAACAATCCAAAACAAGTATTTGACATTCCTTAATAAATTATGATATTTTTAGGTTATTTTTGAAATTAGGTATTTTGGTTATGTAAAACCAAGTGTAAAACTAAAATCAAGATGACTAAATACAGAAAAAGTAACATTTAAAAATTTTTTTTGGCATTCTTAAATAAATCATGATATATGTTTATTTTCAAGAAGACTCTATACAGGAGAGTAATACACACACATTTATTTTGGCATTCAAAACTTTGTTTTATCAATACAAAACTAGTACCTATTTGACATTCTTTTGATTTAAGAATACTAAAATCAAGAAGTACAGCTACTAGTAGTAGTAACATTAAAAAATATTGTTGGCATTCTAAAAAAAATTCTGATATTCTTGGATTATTTTAATATTCTTTTGGTTTGCACTAAAAACAAGAGAAGTAACACTTAATAATTAATTTTTGGCATTCTAAAATATATTTTTACAGTATTTGACATTATTACATATATTATGATATTCTTAGGTTATTTTTACATTATTTCGGTTTTGGAATACTAAAATCAAGAAGCAGAAGCATTAAAAAAATATTTTTTGATTTTTGTCGTTACATATCATGCCTTGAGGTACTTCTCCTTTATTTAGTCTTCTTGACTAAAACAAACTTTCCTAAATTTTATCTTGATTATGATTATGATATTCTCAACCGGATTTTTTTGCATTCTTAAATGTGTTTACTAGATATGTTTTTCACATTCTATACGATCTTTAATATATTTTCTACCATTTCCAAATATTTGAATTTTATTAAGTGGGTAAATGAAAATACTTTTATCGACTTTTATACTAAATTTAGGAAGTTTTCAATTATCTGCCTCCATTTTAGTCGCCATAACCTCCATTAGGTACATTCCATTCCCCCCTACTAATCACATACCTACTTAAAATTTCCTTGCACTTTTGGAAGGCCTACTTGGACCGCAACATTACGAAAATTGACGTTGATCGAGGTAGCATAGCAAGTCTGGGCCCGCTAAGAACGACAGGAATTTAACAGAACCGTATTTTTCTTTTTTCCCGTATATAAAGGGAGCCCAAAAATACTTGAATTTTGAATAAAACCTAAGAATATCATGATTTATTTACGAATGTTAAATACTTTGTTGGATTGATAAAAACAAATTTTAGAATGCCAAAATAAATTTGTGTGTATTACTCTCCTGTGTAGTCTTCTTGATTTTAGTATTCCAAAATTTAAAAAAATCATGATTTATTTAAGAATGTCAAATACTTGTTTAGGATTGTTAAAAATAAAATATTTTAGAATGCCAAAAATAAAATTTTAGGTAAATGTTACTTCTTCTGTATTTAGACATGTCTTTTGTAATTAGTAAGAAATGTTTACTTGGGTTTACTAAATTTAAAGGAGGAATCTTATCATTTGCCATTCTGGCTTAGCACAGTCCTGTGCTTGGGTTTATTAAAGGCAGGAGCGCTTACCTGACCTAAAGATGCTATTCGCGAAATTTAATTTACCATCCCGGTATTATACCGACTCGGTCGCTATATAGGAAGGTATGCTTACGACTTTACATCGTCACATACTTTGAGTTATTAGATTTGGAAATTCGAAGCACGACATTTTCACGCCACTCGTATGTACGAGTATGTAGGTATATGTAGGTAGTATGTTAGGTATATGGGTTCAACGTGATATTTAATTAAATCAGCTCGGATTTAGGAAGAAAGTGCACCAGTTAAGTATCTTAACATTTTAAAATTCCTACATAAGACTGGATGTTTTATAGCAAAGAAAATTCTTGATATTGAAAGATGTATGAGGCAGGTAGCAGGTTTTATTTTTTGTTTTTTTGTTGTTCACAGGTACCTACTACCTGCAAATTAAAAATTGCAGGCAAGAATACAGGTGATGCAACAAGATAAAAATAAATCGTTTTACAAGATACTTAATACTTCACACTTATTGTAAAATTAAAATTGTTTATGTTATGAAAAATTTTAGGTCAGGATATAATAAATGTTGGTATAACCTGTTAATTATTAAAATATTGTTAATATTTAAATTATCGTCCATAAAAAAATCAATTAAGTATAAATTCACAAAAGTAATTAAATATTTAAATACAAGTTTGTTTGGTTTTGATGATTTATAACTTATTAGGTCCAGTAGCAATAATATTTAATATTCTTGCCAGAAGAAATTTGTGTTACAAAAACAGTTATTTTATCTCTTTTATTAATAAAACATAAAACTATAGTTTTATGTTGTATACAACATGAGAAAATATACTCTTCTATTTTTCCAATCAACAATAATTGTTGATTATTATAACCTCGATTATAACATTCCACAAGACAGATCATATTTAATAAACTGTGTTATTACATTGTAGCCATAATAAAATATTATTATATAAATACTTAACACGCATCATGCTTATTGCCCAGCCATTTTATTGTTCTACTCTGACAGTATAAACGTTGAGTGAAGAAGTATTCTTTAATCAATGGTATAAATGATGTATTTTAGACAATAACCGGATATTTTGGATAAACAATCTTATCCAAACAAAATGTTATTAATACATTTCTTTTATCGGTACATTGGATCAAGAAGCTTTGCTTTTATATCTGACAGATGTCAGATGGCCTGTGACAGTTCTGCAACCAATAGGATGCAAGTTCCAAGTCAACCTACTAGATTTAATTAAATCGTATTTTTGCACATTTATCAGCATAACCTTGTTAGAGAACACCAATTATTTATACAGTAATTTTACGTTTTTCACGTACCTACAATTATTGTTGAGCATTATGTCAAGATCGCTTAACTAATAATTTCCTAGCATGACTTTCCCACAAATTATATAAAGACTGTGTGTAACGACTGTTAAAAGAAAAGACTCATTGTGAACGATTTAAACGGTATTATTTATCGTTAATCATATTTATAATTTCGTTTTCATATCATTCAATGGAGATTTAACAACTCGAATTAAATGCAAATAAGAAATAATAAGCAGAGGCCGTAATCAAACCGTGAAATGTGTGTTATTGAATCTTGTAAAAAATTAAAAATGCTTTTCTTATTTACTTACTTTTACCGTAGAATGTTTGACATATTAAACGGAAGAAAAAAGCTCGAAAAAGCTTTAACGCAGTATAATAAATTCAACCAATAAAAATATTGATTTTGGCACCACAATGCATTTAAATCATTGTATTTACTGCAGTGACCTAATGCAACGTAAGGTTTGACTTCCTAAGAATACGCACAAGGGACAAAATGCTTAAAAAACATTTAATAAAAATATTGGTCCTACTTACTTGTAATTATTAAAACAATTATTAAAAGTATAAAGTGAGGTTAGATTGCTTTGGATTCAGCAGTTTTCGAATTTTTGTATTGGTCCTAAAGAGTCTTCTACAGACTAGGATGTAGAAAACGTCATCTATAGATTATAATTGGTCTAAATTATTTTTACAGCGGTGACAAAGTTTTAATATAGAATGCCTGAAAGATATTTTAGGTTCTTGATAAAAATATTATAGGTATAAAAATATTACAATAACTAGATTTAAAAGTAATGTATTTTTTTTAACTTCCGTTACTTAATTAATTTTAAAAAACATTCTGTTATAAGTAAGGTAAGGTGGGGTAATTGTAAGATTGGGGTAAATGTAACATCTTGCGATAAAATTCTTACTTGAAGTAGTAAATAAAAGCAAACGAATAAAAACGCACGCTGTTCTCTTGGGTTGCATATCTAAGTAGAGAAATCCCGACAATTACTGCGCAGTGCCACTTGGTTACTTAAGTACATAATAATAAATCGTTTTTTCCTTTTTGTATTAACCGCGAAGTCTGTTAATTCTTAAATTAAAAATAAAAAAGAAATTGCACACCTTATGATTATAAACGGATTCACACGATTTTACACCAAAATAATCCTATTTTTTTCCTCTTTTACATTAGCCTATTTTTTTCCTCTTTTACATTAGCCCCATACCCACTACAAATACATTAATAGCATTGAGTAAAGTGTTCTTTACTCAATGTTAATAGTGTAATGTAATTAGCCGCTAACACATTTGCCCCATTTTTCGGGGCAAATGCAATATGTTAGGAACGTTTTAAAAAAAAGATGTAATTTTTTAGCCCCTAGTTCCTAACGTTTTATACTTTAGAATATAATTCTTGAGTAGTTGGGCTATATAATGAGCTTTGGGTTTGGTTTAGTTTTATCTCTCCTTACTTTTAATTCAAGAGACAATGCCAACTAGTAAAAAAACATATCGCAATTACCCCACCTTACCTTATTGTTTTTATGTTGAGAACGAAAATTTGCAAAAAAGTTGATCTATAAATATCGTGACTTGGTACCTACTTACTAGCTGTAATTTAAAAAAATTAAAATACAATTTTTATCCTGTAAACATACCAATTATAATTATTAACAGTAAAATACCCTATAAGTGTAACTGACTTTGTCGTAAATAAAGTATTATTAAGTATTATTATTATTACCTCTATAAAACTGGTGTTAAAACTATTGATTTGCTTATTTTCACATAGGAACTTTTTACTGGCTACCTACTATTTATAAAGATGACCGTTTTTATATCAAATATTTGCCATTCAAATTTCCGCTAATAATTCCTAGAATCATAATTACTTGTTATAATTGTTTCAAAATGTGTAAGTAGTCTATTTATAAACACATGTGTTTATTTTATTTTTAAAACCTACCTAAAATAGTAGGTAACGGTTGGACAAAAGTGAAAATAAACAGCCGAAACAACCCCAATTGCTTACAAATTGTTTGTTATTGTTTTGGGTTTTGGTTATCCCATTAAATTTAAAGGAATTTCAAATTGGATCCTTCCTATGTCATGGTCAAGGTAAAGTCAATGAAACTTACAACGAATCTCACAACGTAACTACTGTATTTAAAAACACAAATTGTTTGTAATTTTAAATATATTTATGTTTTTAATAAAAAGTGTTTAAAATCGTACGAGCCCTGTAAAAACAAAATACGAGCTATTTAAAAACAAAAGGCGAAACAAAGCCGCTTATAAATGTTTAGTATGAGGCGTTAATTTTAAATTATAACTTAATAATACAATGTTTGTATCCCTTGAAAATAAATATGATGCAAAAATAATTCCATACAGAACAATGCATGTGAAAAATCAAAAATCTTAGTATGGGGGTTATGTTGAAAACTCACCTTAAAAACTATGCTAGCGGTTAAATATCCAAATAAAGTAGATTCACAAACATTATTGTCACGATTTTAGACACAGTTTCATTTAAAAGTACGATTATTCAGTAGAAAAACACATAACTAAAACTACGTAAAACACAACTCCCATGATTGTTGGCGTGAGACCGACTGACAACACTGGAAATAAAGAGTGCGCACGCGCCGAAGAAGGATGCGCCCACTCTGCAAACACGTCCATTCAAAATTACGGCCGCTGAAAATCAAAATTATCGATAAAAATACAAAATTTAATGTAAAATAATCATATCTAAAACGGGTGTTTACATTTGGGATGCACTTTTATCACTTTTCTTTGTTTATTTAGGCTCAAAGTTACAACATTGTTTATATTTGGATTAAGATAGCAGTTAAACAAACTTTTCAGCAGTCCTTTGTCAACAAAGCCTATTTATTTTTTGAAATACACAAATAACTACTTTATATTTATCACGATTAACTTATAATTACACTAAATATTCAGTTTTGTATTCAAAAATTGACAATAATTAATTATTAAAAAAATACCAATTATTGATTATCCCTGCCATCTATCGGTTGCTTGTTTAACAGATGTCAAGTATTTTATTATATACGTTAATGTGATTAATGAAAGATGGCAGTGCAATTAATTTAACAAATTTGGTTATTAATTAAATAAAAACAGTTTATTTAAATGCTTATATATGCACACAAAAAATAAAATCAATCACATTTACAAAAGAAGCATGAATATCCCATAAAATTAAAAATATTTGTGTTCGGATTTCTGTTTCTAAAGTTGGCTATTGTTTTTATGTTGGCAACACATTGACAATCCTTTTTTCAACAAACGTTTAAAAACGCCAAATTTTCAACATTTATTGTTGTAAATAATAAAATAAATTCAAAATGAGTACTATGCCAGTTAGTTCTTCGACCCTACTGCCTCTGGGTAAGTAAACCGGTCAAATTAGAGGTTATAATAAACATTTGAGGTTATGGTAAACAATAAAATGTGTTATTTTTTTTATTTTAGAGTTAGTAGATAAATGCATAGGGTCCAGAATTCACATAATAATGAAAAACGATAAAGAAATCGTGGGGACTTTGTTGGGTTTTGACGATTTTGTTAATATGTTATTGGAAGATGTAACCGAGTATGAAACAACACCTGAAGGTAAAAGGATCACGAAATTAGATCAAATTTTGTTAAATGGAAATAATATAACAATGGTAAATAATGTTGTTTGTAATATATTAATATTTTATTTAAAAAATGTTTTTATTTTAGCTTGTTCCTGGAGGTGATATGCCTGAATAGATTAGTTTTAGTAATAAAATATTTTTATAAGTACAGCATCGTATTATTATAAGCCTTGTATCGTTTAGTCATTAATTTAAAACATTTTGAAGGATATTTTGTTTTCTGCAGTTTTATGTAGAAAATAACGTTAACCCACCCATAGATGGCGCTTTATCTGAACTGTCATCAAAGAACTGTCATCTTTATAATCTGTGTACAAACCTAGGTTAGAATTTAAAAAAATGGATAAACCTAGGCCCTGCGGTTGTAAAGGATGTCGTACGTGTTTAATATGTGAAAAAGATTACGGAATACAAAAACAAATACCTCTTGACATGGAAAATGGCATGTATATATATTGCCCTTTTTGTAACAAAGCATACCCAGGCTGGAATATAGAAGACTACAATTCGCACCCCAATCACAGTGGAGATGCTATAGAATATCCTGGGATCTACATAGATTTGAATTTTTTAAGTGATGACGAAGAAAAAGTGTTAATTAATGGGGTGGACTCCATGCCCTGGGATTTATCACAGAGTGGCAGAAGAAAACAGAATTTTGGACCTAAATGTAATTTTAAGAAGAAAAAATTAAGATTAGGTGACTTTCAAGGGTTTCCGAGATTCTCGGAGTTTGTACAAAAGAAATTTAGCGATCATCGTGTGCTGAAAAACTTTCAAACAATTGAACAATGTTCGTTGGAGTATACCCCTGAAAGAGGCGCTTCAATTGACCCTCATATTGATGATTGCTGGATTTGGGGGGAGAGAATTGTGACCGTTAACTTAATATCGGACTCGGTATTAACCATGACTTACAATGATAAACCCAAAAGGTACAATTTAGATTGTGTTAGCAAATATCCATCTGTGTTAACAGAAACTGGAGATATCAACAACTCCGGTCATTCATATACTGTAAAACCCTTAATGAACAGTGATAAACATCCTGTGGTAAGAATACCGATGCCTAAAAAATCTTTATTGGTTATGTTTGGTGCAGCCAGGTACGATTGGGAGCATCAAATTTTAAGAGACGATGTTAAAGAACGAAGGGTTTGTCTGGCTTACAGAGAGTTTACACCCCCCTATTTGGTTGAGGGTAAAGAGGATGTTGCTAAACAAATTTTGTTAAAGGCTCAAGAGTTTTGGGATTATAAAAGGGTGGAAATGTGAATAAAAATTTTAAATCAAAATATATTTTATTTATTTTTATTATTTATTTGTATTATTAACTTGTTTTGGCACGGTAGGGAAAAATTTTTGTCACGCGTTAAATTAATTGTTGACCTAAAAATTAGAACAACCTAATTGTTATTAAATAACAGTTATTTTTTCTTTATAATCTGTGAGTTATTTTATACATCAAATAATATTTAATATTTTGTTACCATGTTTTTTTGTAGGTATATATTTTTTTATATTAATTAAAAAATAGTCGAGATCAAACTGTTAAACAAACTTATTTGTTTTAATTCTGCAGACCTTTTCAACACTATTATAGTAATTATAATTACTGAAACATAACCTTAAATTTTTCCAACTGTCACAGTGACAATTGCTATCCAACACCACTTTTTGACATAACCTTAAAAGTTTTATCTGTTCAGGTCAGAGAAATAGAGTTTCTCTGGTTCAGGTGACAAACTATAACCTTACTTTTGAAGAGCATAACAATACTAATAATAACTATTTTGCTTTTAAATTAGCTAAAGGCCAAAAATTTTGAAGAAGAAGAAGAATAATAACTATAATAATAACCTTCTTTGTCTCTGATAACTATTTTACCTCTAAAAAACGTTACAGTCTACCATAGAAATAAAAATTAATTATTAATTGAATCGGTAAAATTTAATTTTGACAAGTTATTTTTTAAAATCAATTTTAAAGTTCAAAATACATTTTTGTAAGAAGATATATGTAAATCATTTTGCAGAATATGAACATTATATTTTATAAAATAGTTAAAATATTCCCACAAAAATGCATTTAGAACTATAAAACTGATTTTTTGAAATATTTTTGACTTGTACTGTTCTTAATCTCACCAATTCAATTTTAATAATGATTTTTCTATGCTGTCTACAGTTCTCAATAAAAAACTTTTAAAATTTTCATAAAACTGTCAAAAATGTCCTTGATGGTCTAAAATTGTTTTAAATTTATAATTTGTTTAAAGGTTTTTATCATCTCAAAATTGCATAAATTAAAAACAATAACACAGATATCATTTGGTTTCTATAAATGTCACTTTTTTAACCTATGCATGCTAGATTACTCCAATCCATAGATCAAGGTCAAAGGAAACCAAACAACTTCAAATAAATGTAAATTTCTTTATTAATATAAATTACCAATACTTAAAGTAAAAAAAAAGAATGTAACTGTCTAGTCTTCGTAGACCCAGCTTTCTTGGGCGGGCTTCCAGTTGACCAACTCCTTCTCTGTGAACCACAAAGCGATTTCTTTCTTGGCAGACTCGACAGCATCGGAACCATGGATGATGTTACGTCCAACTTGCACGCAGAGATCTCCACGGATGGTTCCGGGGGCGGAATTGGCTGGGTTGGTCTCTCCCAAAAGAACACGTCCAGTTTTGACGACGTTCAAACCCTCCCACACCATTGGTACTACGGGTCCGCTGCTCATGTACTTAACTAGACCGGGGAAGAAGGGCCTTGCTGACAAATCGGCGTAGTGGTTCTTTAAAAGATCTTCGGAAGCCTTAAAAGAAGATTAAAAGTCAGTTACATCCCATTTTCATCATAGCTGGCTATTGCAGTTGTAAAATGTCATACAATTGTCAAAGCCAATAAAAATAGAGTCTGACAGATGTCAAATTATCTTTATTTTTGAAAGTTATTTAATTTTTGTGTTTGTCGTGGTAAGCAACTTGTTTTATAAACTTCTCTAAACACTCGTTGAATATACACTCGCTCGCAAACTTCGCTCGTGCTTAATTGAAACCATAATGCCGGTTTTCCAACTTGTTACATAATAAATTTTAAATTATCCAAATACCTCCTTTAATTTCAAATTGTCTAAAATTTCTAATATTAAAAGTTTAATTTAAAACTGATTAAAACCTACAAATAGGTATTGTCTTTAGACTTCCTGAAACTAAATTCTAAATTCGCCCTTCTGTTTAAGATTTGTCCTAAAACTGTCTTTAACTTTCTCAAATGTCAAATGTCTAAAATGTCAAAAATTCAAAGAGGCTGTCCAAAAACTTGAATATCTGTCAACCAAAGTGTTAAAATGTCTAAAATATTGTTTAGTGACTAAAATAGCCTAGTAGATGTTTAAGACTTGGATAATATAACATATTTGGAGCCTCCACAGCGAAGGAGATATTTAATTAGAGGCTGGCAACCATTTAATTATCTTTGCTGGCAACCAAAGAACTGTGGCAACACTGGTGTTAGGTTATGTGACCTTGCCACGCCGGCCGCGATTTGTTCAATATGCCGGCCATTTTCGGTAATTAGACGTTGGTTTGTTTTAACTTACCCACTGGAATTTAAGAGCGACCAACTTGAATCCTTTCGCTTCGAATCTCTTGATGATTTTGCCGACCAATCCCCTCTGGACGCCATCGGGTTTGACCATAATGAAGGTTCTCTCGTTGTTTGCCATGATTCTCGCTATAACGTAAAAGATTGACAAGATCGTGCCTATCATACAGTCGACAACCAAGTGAACGATTTCAAATTATTTTTAACGCAGATGGCGGCCATCTGATGGCCTCGACTCTAACCAGTGCTGCCAACTCTCAAAAATATTTATCCCTAAAGCCAAGTCAAAACCCCCTAAAATCGTCACAATTACTTGGAAATCCCCCTAAACAAATAATATTATTTAAAAAATAATATATAATAAATTGAGGCGTTTCTCAGACAAACATCATTAGTCCAATATCGTCGAAATTTAGATATTAGCACCAACTGTTTCCTAAGCTCCATATATACGTATACAAATAAGTGTTTCTCGTAAAAATGTCATAGGTTCCATAATAATTAAATATGAAATTTAGCTTGTTCTTCTAAAAACATCACAAGTCCACTCCGTTTCATCTAAGAAAGTCACATGTGCATAACATGTGACGTTTTTGGACACTCTAGAAAAGCTACTACGGTAGAAGGTAGAAGTTCTACCTCTTTTACATGACCACAGCAATAGAAAATTTTATGATAACTTGATAAAAGACCAGAAGACCATTGCACCTGACAGTCCTGATATCACGGTCGACAACGATGATGAACAGCAGTGGATACGAAGACTGAGTGTGGCAGTAATACAGTTTTTAGTTTTTTCATTTCTTTTGTTGCTCAGAGTTAATATTTAGTTTGTAGTGTTTGTAGTGTTTGTAGTGTTTGTAGTAAGGAGAATTGTTCGTTTTTTTCTTCTAAAAACCTCACATGTTCATGTATTTTTTGTGTTTTTTTCATTTTCGTTTGAAAAAAAAACATGAGGAATTCTGGACAAAGTACTTATCTTACATTTTTTTACATGTAGTAAATAGGCCAATAAAGTACTTTAGTCAAAAATGGGATTGTCAGGGAGTTTTTTTCATTTTCCCAAATATGTTAATTTTGGACTAATGATGTTTTTCCGAGAAACGCGTCAATTAATATAATACCTAATAAAGTACTAAATATTCTTTATTCAAAAATTGTTTATAACATCAAATATATTTATATATATATATTTTATAAAATGTATTATTCAATAGACACACTATGCGGTAACTGGTGGTTATAACCACCAGTTACCGCAAATAACTTGTAATCACAGATTAGTGCTTGTAATATATCGTCCTATGTTTATGGTAAACACCACCAGGCTGGTAAACACTTATGGCGGGTTTACGAGTCACTCGCGTGCGTTTGAGGTTTGCGTGCGTTTCCTGGGCCTTCGCGTCAACGCGTTCTTCCTGACGCGACCCCATTTACGAGTTTCAAAGGCGCGCGTTTGCTCACCTTCGAACGTCAGCTGGTTCCTCAGTGCGTGTGTTTTGATTTCGTCTCATGTCTCATACTTTAGGAAAATGGACCCATTTTTAATTCTTCGAACCGCAATATTAATGAATTTAGCTCGTCTGCTAATTATGTTTGACACAACACTTCTCCCACGCAGGCTACGCGGCTGATGCCATTGGCTGGCCGTGTCACGTGATATCGGCTTCAACGCGCGCGATCTTTTTACGGCGTAAAGTTTTTTCCCCGGATAAAAACCAAGACGCGTCAAACTGGCTGAGATTTGGCGCACGCGTCCTTTTAACGCACGCGAGTTCACTTATAAACGATCCCATTGCCCACCATGAGTTAAAACCGTCGCGCGCGTTGGCTAGCTCGCGTAAACGCGACCTCCAAACGCACGCGAGTGACTCGTAAACCCGCCATAATGGCTAGTTTTGTGAGTAAATCTCAATGCTTACAGTGCACTATGTTGATTTGTTGTTTTCATTTTACTCTGCATTTTTAGTAATGATGAACTGTAATAGATGTCGCCAAGCCACTAGGCCAACAAAAAAATAGGATTGACGAAATTGGGTTATCACAGGTTCTATATTTTTACACTTACATTCCTTTTATTTAAAAAAATAAATATCAATAGTAAAAAAATCCCTAAAAATAACCCTAAAAATATAAAGCCCCTAAAAAAATCCCATTCCACTTATTTTCCCCCTAAATCTGGGGGGAAAACCCCTAAGTTGGCAGCACTGACTCTAACCTAGCTGTTTCGTCACTTGGTACCTCGTTGCCAAACTGTTTGCGAGTGCGGTGCGCATGGCGCAGAAAAAAACACCGGTGCGCTGTAATTCGATTAAAAAAAGATGCGCACAAATGTTATGTTGATTTTATTGTGTGTTATCAAAGAAATTATTTGTCAAAGCACAGATTAGGGTCGATATGCAATAATAGGATTTAAATTATTGTAGCATACGTCCGTTTTAAAACCGTGCTGAAAACATGTGACAACGTTGGTTGAATAATCTAAAAATTGCGCAGCAATGTTGCCACGCTGATTTTTGCAATATTTTCTAGATGATTATTTTTTAAAATCTATTCGAAACCTTTTTATTCCTTTAACTAATGCATTAAAAATAAAGGTACATATTAAAAATTAAAAGAAATAAATTTTATAACCATTTATGTAGGTGTTAAATTAATTCTATCCTCCGTGAATCTGTTTTTGCTTTATGCAACGGATGGTGCTTTAATCATTTTACGTAAGCAAAAATCTCTGTTTACGACATTATAGATGCATGTGATTCTTGAAGGTCAATTAGAATTTATATGCAGATGAGAGTGTTGCTGTTTTATAATTCAAAAGTTTAAATTCATTAATTTGCTATTTAAAAACCTATCCACCGTAATGTGTAATATCTCAGTAAGTAGATTTTTTGTATAAATATTTTATGTACAGGGTGATCCCCTATAATGTCGCCCCCCTTTAAGTTTTTTATTTTAAGTGTCCCAAAAAAATTAAAAGTGTGGTTATGTAGGAACTAAAAAATACTTCTTTTCTACGTATAAAGAAAATTGGAAAATTGATCAGTATACAGGGAAAAACAAAAAGTTTATTTTTTTTCAATGGATCACCCTATATATGAATTTATTTTTCGATTCCTTGTAAAATTCTAAGCATATTTCATATATCATACCATATACCTAAATTCAACCGTTTCTGAAATATTTAAATTATTTTTAAGATAATAAGTTGAAATAGTTTGTCTTTCTCTGTCTGAGTAGGTACGCCATTTTTACTTATTTAACAACACTTATTGACATAATGTCCCTATAGTAATTTATTTTCAATAAAAATTTTGGTATACTGAGGCTTCTTGATTTTTAACAGTTTAAAAAAACATTTAATGATGACATTTCGAATGCGAATATTTCAGAAACGGTTGAGTTTTTGTATATAAATTATGCTCAGAATTTTACAAGGAATCGAAAAATAAATTCAAATATAGGGTGATCCATTGAAAAAAAATAAACTTTTTGTTTTTCCCTGTATAGGTACTGATAAATTTTCCAATTTTCTTTATACGTAGAAAAAAAGTATTTTTTAGTTCCTACATAACCACACTTTTAAATTCTTTGGGACACTTAAAATAAAAAATTTAAAGGGGGGCGACATTATAGGGGATCATCCTGTACATATGCACAATTGTATTTTTAAAAATATTAAGGTGTCAAAAGATACAATAGCTTATTTGAAATATACAAAGGGATGTTAAAAAAAACATACGAAATACTAACCTCCGTGAAGCCCCAATATTCAAAATGTATGATTTCTTAAAATTCTTGCATTAGTGCAGCACCACTTATGATATGTTATTACCAGACCTGGTGGCTTCCCAAAAACCCCATTTTAGACTAACAGTGAAACAACCAAAAATAAAAAATAATCATTTTTACTTGGGGAACATCTCAATATACAGCATAATTATGGGTTTAAACTTTAAACCCAAAGACAAGAAATGTAAATGCTTTGTTATCTATGATGTAAACAATATAAAAATGGCCTAAAATAAGCTTTTAGGATGTAAAATCTAAAATCTACCTACCTAGGTATAAAAATTATAATTTATAACAAAAACATTTTAAAATAACTTACCAATATTTGAATCGCCACAAAATTCCATTTATAGCTTTAAAACTGTCATTTGGACTAAATCTGACATTTATAAACCACCAAATGTCAAACTCGACAATTCCGTTACTTTTATAAAAAATATTTTCTAGGAAATAAAAGAAAGGTGACAACACCGCGATGAAGCCTTTTCCTTAGTGATTATTCGACATCTCTCTCTCGCTCTCACGTTTTCTATTGTTGCTGCGTCTCCCTCCGATGACGTCACAGCAAGGGTAGTGAGGGGAACAAAAGTGTTGTTCGGTAAGCTTAATATTCCTTATGCAATTTTTTAATTGGTTAGTTTAGATTTATTCGGCTTTTCGGAGAAAATCCGTAAGTGTTTTGAAGATTGTTCGTGTGCATTTCGGCGAAAATTATAGCGAGGTAGGAAAACTATTTCGCATTTATTCTGTGGAATATTCCATAGGTCCTTGGCCAATCACGTTGCGGCGAGGGGACAGCTGCAGGTTTTCGTTTCCTCGTGCTACAACCTCTCTCTCTGACTCGGCGTTGCCGGATTACTTTCACGGTCAGGTAGATTTTTGCAGAAAAATATTTACATTAAAAATGTACATTTGACATTTGTCCGCGTAATTTTATATATTTTTTACCATTTCTGTCAAACTAAAAAATCAGCAGAATTTACTCTTTAGAGTGGCTACGTAAATCCATTATAAAGGACAGTAAATAGTAGATCTTTTGCAGTAACAGTGGATCTGGCAACGCTGCTCGAACCTCTCTCCCTCTGACTCGTTGGTGTTTTTGTGCTGTCGAAAAACAATCGATTGTCGAGAGAAAGACGTTGAAAGTGGACGTCTTTTATTTTGCGTATTGTGGTGTTTGCATTTAAACTATCGAGTATTGTAATAGTGCATTTTCTATGATGCAGGGTCAAGACGCTGCTAATGTTCAGAGCCAGATAAGTTTGAACAACGGAGTACCCGTTCAGGGAAATAGTATTGGTACACAATTCATCATCAAGATGAACGATGCCATTGCACCTTTGTCTTCCGTGGGTGAGTAAAAGTGCAAATTATTTCGTAGTTTTGCTGTGCGTTGACATTTTATACCATAGACACAGCAAAATAGATGTATATTTCAATATAATTTGATTGAACTTTAAAATTTTTGGATTGATCCTAAAATGCATTTGTACACTAGGGTTGGTTAGTAGTGCTACGGTAGCTATCCAAATGTGCACTAGTGTACAATAATGCATTTTAAGACTATATATATGAAAATACTTTTAAAAATTACGTTTATTAGTGCAAGGCTACAAACAGACCTTATATTTTATTAGTTTGTTTGTGGAATGTTGATATTTCTCTCAACAGATGTCACTATTATTTTTGACGTCAAATGACAAATTTTAATAGGTTCACAATCCACACAACAAGGTCTGTTCGATCTCGTAGTTAAAATACTAAAAATCACTGCACTTAAGGTTATTTTATAACCCACAAATTAACCTTCAAATTGACATTTCACAGCCCTGATAGAATAAGGTTTATTTTTTACAAAAGCGGAGTAAAATGATTGTTCTTACCACTTTGAGGTCTCTTTTAAGGCTTGCAAGTCTCTCTGTAAGAAACACAACGTTTAAAACGATTATTAATCTGCCCAAACCCAAAGCACAAGAATTGTAAACAACAAAAATGGCCGCCATTGAATGATGTGCAGTGTTGCAGTGATTTTTAGTATTTTTAGTACGAGATCGAACAGACCTTGTTGTGTGGATTGTGAATGGGTTTTTCCTTTAATTAAAGCTGAATGAGTTTCTCTATGCTGGAAATCATGGAGCAAGAACAAGAAGTATGAACTTAATCCCCCATTAAGTTCATACTCCTCGTGTAGGCTCCATGCTGGAAATGTTTATTTTCAGCAACCCTATTTTTTTATAATTGAAATGTTAAGTCTTGTTTTTATACAGGTATAGTAAAATTGTCTATTTTAGGGCTGTTGGAGCTTGCACACAGAGAATATCAAGCCGGGGACTATGAAAATGCCGAAAGACATTGCATGCAACTTTGGAGACAAGATCAAACAAACACAGGAGTTTTACTGCTTCTGTCGAGCATACATTTTCAATGCAGACGTTTGGAAAAATCCGCACATTTCAGCGGTTTGGCAATAAAACAAAACCCCCTGCTTGCTGAAGCCTACAGGTAAAATCCTACCATTAAACAGTGTTGCCAGATGACATTACTCCATTTGACAGATAGACCTGGCAACGCTGCTCTTTCTGTCAAATATGTGGTGTTTGACAGATTATTCTTATTTTAGCAATTTGGGGAATGTTTACAAAGAAAGGGGACAGCTTCAAGAAGCTTTGGACAACTACAGACATGCCGTTAGGTTGAAGCCTGACTTCATTGATGGCTACATTAATCTTGCTGCAGCTTTAGTTGCAGCTGGAGACATGGAACAAGCTGTTCAAGCTTATATTACAGCTTTACAATATAACCCAGTAAGTACTTGAATCATTTATAGTAAATAGGCTTGGGTAATAGGCCAAAGAATATATTTGAGGTTAGGTTTTTACTAACAAAATAACCTCAAATTTATTTTTTGACACAAATTGTTAGTTTATATTTTCTTTACTGCTTTTAAAGCTGTCAAAACATTTATTTAATTATAAATTGTCAGTTTTACAGCTGAAAAAAGATTTTGATTTTGTGTTGATTGTGGATTTTGTCAAATTTTTTGAATATTTTTTTTCATTTAATTTAATCTTTTATACCTACTTTATTACTTTGGAAATTACATTTAAATTGTTTAAAAATCGAATAATATGTAATATTTACCTATTTATAATTTTTTTCTCGCATGCTCTAAAAACCTACATAAAAATCTATTTTAGCGCAAATTAAATTTAATGTTTACTTTTTAAATAATTACACAGTTAACAATACGCCTTTGGCTTTTAATTTTAACGGTTTTTTATTAAAATTAATATATCTACTGTAGCTTAACGCGTCATCAGTATTTATATTTGTATCACACAAATTGTTTACCTTGTAAATTACTTAGTGTTTACATTCATTTTAACTTAATCATAGGAATATTTTGTATTGCCATTTTATTCAAATATGTTTATAAACGCCTGGTAATGGTTGGGTGGAAAGTTTGTGTGAATTTTGAGATGCAAAAATAAGTTTTTGTTTGTAATATGAGTGGGGAAATAGAACTGGTGAGAAAAATAATTACTTAATCTTAATAAAAATAAAAAAATAATATTGGTTGACAAATTAATAAAAAAGAAATGTACTTTCAGTGCCACTATTTTTTCTTAATGTAGTTTGGCCTGCTAAACTAAAAAATTACAATATTTTTTGAACAAAAATAAAAATGCAACATTTATCTTTTTGCCAAGAACTATGGTTTTAAAGGGTCGAAAAAAAACGGAAAAATGATGAAAAAACCTGTTTTTTCATAGGCTTTTTTGGGAGAAATAATATATATTTTTTTGGAAAATATACACATTTGAAAATAGTAACAATCAACAACTTAACATTATTTATATTTAAAAAAAAATATCCTTTAAAACTAAACATTGAATTAAATTAAATTGATTTAAGAATATTTATTATTGTTATTATTATTGCAAAAAAAAAAGTAAGAATGCAAAGACATAAATTAAACGAAAACGGTATAAACACTAATTTAGCAATAAAATAAATAAAGAATATACAAGGTTGGTAGCCGGAGTAAGAAAAAAAAAAACTAACATACCCACCCCCCATTCACGAATACCAATTGAATGGGGTTACTACTAAGGCCTAGGTTCAGGAGGATTCCGGATTGTACTTAGTTTTGGGTCAGTTCAATGTCCTCCAAAAACCCTTCCTAAACTGGACGTATGGCCCGACCCGGCTGACAAAAATCCCGGGAGCTGCCTTAACCTTTGACACTGTCATCCACGAACTCCTAGGGTGGATCTACCAGCCGGCGTAAAAACTTCGGATCCAACAAACACAGGTAATGCTGTGATTTGGCGGGATACGCAGGAGAACGGAAAGGGGGTAATATAACCCCGGGAGATCAGTGGATGACAATATATCTGGGGCTTGCCATACGTTCCCATACTCATACTCATACTCATTGTTATTATTATTGCAAACGTAAACGTAACTGTCGGTTGGGTCCTTTTTGCAAAAAGGGGTCCATTGAAAATATCCAATTACATAATAATGAATGATTTATAAAGTTAAATTAAAAAATTATAATTTTATAAATCGTGTCAAATAAAACGAAAGTTTTGTATGAACCGCACTGAATATGTTTTTTTTGCGGTTGAACATTCTTACTAAATTAAAATAAAACGAATATTTATTATAATTATAATGTTATAATTATTAGACTGGGCCAAAAAATCAACTATTTTTTTTTGAAAAGTATATCGAAAATATGGTTTGGGGTGACAAAAAAAATTATTGTGAAAGTTTGAGTCCATAATATTAATATTAAGAGGTCTATCATCGCAATTTTAAGTTAACCATTGAGTTTAACAAAATTGACTATACTTTTTTAAGGAAATTAAATTTAAAAAGGTTAAAATGAAATTTTCCGTCAGATGGACCGTTTCCTTAAAATCATGCCCTAAAAATTGGTATAGTTTTACATTTTGATCTTTAAACTTTGGAATTTTGTTATTCATGTAAAAATCAGTACCCAGAAAAAAACCGATGAATATTTTTATGGGAAATCAAATGCTTTACAAAAAAAGTCTCTTAACATTTTTGGCTAAACGGCCATTTCAAGCGGATGGACGGGACAAATCACAAAACTGTTTTTATAAAAAAAATTGTAGGTAATTTATTATATATTATTTTTGCATCAAAATTGTCAAATATATTCTTCTATTATTAGGCTATACATTAAATAAAAAAAAATCGCAAGAAATATTTTATAAAAGTAGAGATAATTTCAATAATTGACAGGGGTGGATGGGACACGATAAATCTTTTTTTTGTCCCGTCCACACCTTTCAATTATTAAAATTATATCTACTTTTATAAAATATTTCTTGCGTTTTTTTATCTAATGTATAACCCAATAAAAGAAGAATATTTTTGACAATTTTGATGCCAAAATATTATATAATAAATAATCTACAATTTTTTTTATAAAAACAGTTTTGTAATTCGTGCGTTTCGCGCGCTTGAAATGGCCGTAAAGTCACTCAATCAAAAGTTATTCATGGTTAAAGTTGAAGTCAAAACGAAATTCTTGTTTTTTCCTGTGTATTTTTTTATGGATGATAATTTGATTGTTTTCTTTATAAATGTGTATTATATAACTAATTAAAAATTTCCGATAAAAAAACAACATGATTGTTATTATTTAAACGATTAAATAGGTAACAGTGAAAATAATATTTTCTAAAGAAAATAGCTAATTTTATCAATAACATAAAGATTATCATCGATAAAAGAATTCAAGTTTTTAACTGACCAAAAAAAAATCTACAGCGGAAAATCAAGAATTTCGTTTTGATTTCAAATTTAACCTTGAATAACTTTTGATGGAGTGAATTTAGCCAAACTTTCACCATAATTTTTTTGTCACACCCAACAATATTTTCAATATACTTTACAAAAAAGAATAGTCGAATTTTTTGGCCCAGTCTAATAATTATAATCAAATTGAAAATTTGAATTTTTAAAAAAATTGCCTTTTGCATTTATTTCGTATTACCCTTTGAATAAAATAAAAAAAATGCAAAAGTCAATTTTTTTTCGCCGGCTCAATTTTAAAACCCTGCCAAGAACTAATAAAAATTTAATTATCCATTAGTTTTTCTATAATAGTGGCATTGGATGTACATTTTAGCTGTAAATCAGTGTAATTAAAGAAACCATTTTTTTTTCAGGATCTCTACTGTGTACGTAGCGATTTGGGTAATCTACTTAAAGCGCTTGGTCGCTTAGATGAAGCCAAGGTATGTAAAATAATGGGAAATTTATTTACCCAATTCAAACCTATCCCAGTCATTGCAAAAAGATCACGTTTTCATGGACATTCGCAATGTCGTTGGAAATTGACTCTTATTCATAATATGCAAGAGTTTTTGCAAAGTTATTTAACAGTCTGGTATGTTTTTTTCCTTTTAAAACAACAAAACTAAGTTGAAGTTTAGAACATTGATTTTTGTTTTTAATTTAACATTTTCAAGACACTATATTTTTTTCACTGACAAATTTGCGATTGGCAGGCAGTTTTCTCGTAAGGCGTTTATGCGTAAAACTAAAGGTTGCGTAATTTTGCATAACTGCAGTTTGAGCGTAGAATTGGGTATTTTTATTTTATTTTAGGCGTATGGCGATATTCTTGTTTCTATTAGTTAGTCCTTTTCTTCGTTTTATAGAAAGTGATTAAAATCAATCTGGTAAACGTTTTCTTTTTTCTTGATTAATTTTTTTTGGTCTATAAAATAGATTGATTAAATCATTGGCTATGACCATTGTAAATTTCAGGTGCTCTATGCGTACAAAATATATTAGTTAATAATGAAAAATGCTTGCCAATTAATTGAACTCTTGCATACTACATGTACTTTATACAAAACTTAACTTATAACTTATTTAATAATTTCATAAAAAATGGTTTTGTAAAAAGTACACCCTAAGGCGTAAATTTTGGATATTCACGATTTTCTTTCAGACTTAACCGATTTTTAAAATTACAAAATTTGCAAAATTCGCTTTGAAATTGTAAATTTTTTCTTCATTCTCATTTGTCCTTTCCTTACCTTAAAAAGAGTGTTTCCAAAGTGGATTTCACCAATTTTAAATGGAAATACTACATAGTGAAAGCTTACTGTGAAATTTAGTCATTGAATAGAAAACTTGTTTTTTATAAAAAGTGTTTTGAATCCTAAAAATATATGGTAATGTCAAAGTTACTTTAAAATAATGACACATTTTAGAATATCAAAATACTACAGATTTATAAAATGTCAATGTTTAAAACATACAAAAATGTCAAAAAATGTCAGACATATTTTTAAATTTTTGTTGGAAGGTTGTAGAAAATGATGTTTGTTGAATGAAAAAATGTTTCTGTCACAAGTATCTTCAGGTGAATACCGAATAAGTTAAGTAGATACATGTCTATGTATATCCAGTACATTAGGCTTGAATATTAATGGACGTGTAGCTACTTAACTTATTCGGTATTCACCTGCATGGAGACGACTGGAGATGCTTACTAGTCGTAACGTCTTGATTAAAAATAAGAACCTTTTTTCATTCAACATCAATCTTATCAGGACTTTTTAAAATTGTCATGACATATTTTAGAATTGCTGGACTTTTACCATAACCTTAAAATAATTTTAATAAAAACACAACTGGAAATGTCAAGTCATTTTAGAATATTAAAACCCCATTTTAAAATTCTAAAAACAAACTAAAAAATTGCAAATATTTTGTTAAAAACACAATTAAAAATGTCAGACGTATTTTAAATGACAAGACCTATTTAATAATATCAAAAATATTGTATTTGAAATTTTTAAAATTTTCGGAAATTTAAAAAAAACTAAATTTCTGATATTTTTTGAAAAGTGTAAAATCCTTTTAAAATAATCAAAATCTTGTTAATATAAATTTCGTATTTATTTAAATTTTGGAAATTTTGAAAAAAACTAAATTACCTACTTAATGATATTTTAAAAAAATTGTGAATGTTAAATTTTATTTTTGAAAATCTTGAAAATTAAGATTTTAAAATTCTTTTAAAACATTGAATTGATATAAATTTCAGGTATTCTAAATTCTAAAAACAAACTAAAAAATTACAAATATTTTGTTAAAAACACAATTAAAAATATCAACACGAATTTTAAATGACAAGACCTATTTATTAATATCAAAAATACTGTATTTTTGGTAAAATTGCTAAAAACATTTTTTATAAAAAATTAAATTATCTTGAATTTCTTTAAATATTTTAAATTTATTAATTACCATAGGCTAAACTAACTTGCTTCTATTAAAACAGTTATCTAACCAAACCAAATATTGTTAGAATTGTAGGTGTTTAGACAGCATCAGAAACTAAAAAAATCGTTTAACAAAACTCAAAAATGTATTCCAGTTGCTTTGGTGATATTCCGTTTGTGACCAAAAAAATATATATTGTCGAAAAAAATATAACGCACTGTGTTGAAGTTAAATTTTGACTAATGGCATCTTACTGTTGGTGTACGATAATACAGGTATGTGGCAGACTGTGTGTATCGTCCGAGAGAGGAATTTCGAAAAAATCTGTTGTTATGGTTTATCGTGGTAATCTGTAATGGGCTTAGTTTCTACAGGTAACGTAAACAGAGCAGGGCGAAGAAGGTCTCAGTTGTTGTTTTTAGGTAACGGAGTGTTGAGGAGGGACCTCTAACGAAAAAAACACTCACTTTATAGATTATTGTACTTTTTTTTTTGGTGTTTTTTGTAAGCGTAAGTTGGCCGTTAGCGTACATTCTGGTTGCGTAGCGATTGTTTCTGTTTTGTAGAGGGCGCTTTTCGCGGCAAATGCGTAACGCGCTGTTTTAAGAGAATTTTAAGTTTTTGCAATTTATTTTGCTGCCTAAACAAAATTTATAATGACTTTTAAAAATATGGTATAATAATACATAGGGATAGAACGATATCACTTTTTTTTGCCGATACGATATATCGGCCGATACCGATATTTACGTGCCGATATACCGATATACCGATATATCGTATCGGCAAACATAATGCCATCTATTTATACACGACCGAAGCAAAAATCGGGGAAGTCCCGTTTTAATTCCGTTGCGAGGAAACGTTTGTGATTGGTAGTGAGTGACATTTCGGATTTCTGGGAAGCCCCTTATACAGTGTGTATTAAAACGAATAGATACACTTAAATAAAACAAGTGCCAAACCCCGCCCACTGTGCTAGGGATTGAGAATTTATAGGTTTTATTTTTATCGAATTCGTTTGTTTTGTTTTAATGCATTTCTGCAAATAAAAACTAAGTATTGTTTAAAATCCATTAAATTCCAGTTAATGGCGAAAATGTATTTCTTAAAAACTATACACATTTCCCTACGACAGCGCAATTTTTTTTTGCCGATATATCGGCAATTATTTTGCCGATACGATACGATACCGATAATCGGAAACAATTGCCGATATGCCGATATACCGATATCAATATCGGTATCGTTCTATCCCTAATAATACATTTATTTGACATTGATCAAAAATGACATGTATACTATACAGGGTGACCAAAGTATTTTTATTATTTGAAGAGCTACAAGGTCGGTTAAATTAAAGAAAAGTTGAGTAATTACAAGCATATTTAAATAAAATGTATGTATTGAAAAAAAGCCAGAGGTTTTTGAAAATATTAAAAAAAACTAAAAATATTTTAAAATCAAAAATCGTTATAACTTTGTAATAATTAAAAAAAGAGTGTTTAACATGTAACCATGCAAATTTCATCCAATTTCTTTTTTATTATATTTTAAGTTTCCATCACCATCTTTTGTTTTTATAATGCCACCATAACTTAGTAGTTTAACACATCGTTGTAATCCTAGATTTTTTTTCTATATAACCATGTAAAATTTCAATATGGCGGCCATAGGAAACTCAAAATCTAGTGGGCGAAAAAAATCACAAATTGAATAAAATTGTACATATATGTTTATGTTTACATGTAAAATGTTATTTTTTTTAAACTACCAGGAATAACAAGTAATAATGATTTTCTGTTTTGACAGGTTTTCAGTTTTTTTCAAAATATTTGAAAACCGTTTACTCACGAGGGGTGCGGCTAAATATTAATTAAATATTAACATTAACTTAAATGAAATTAACATATACTTATCTCAGAAACTACTGGAGTCACAAAAAAATTGTAAGGGGACAAATTTTATGATTTAAATTTAATTTTTTAAATGTTATACTTTCATTTATACAGGGTGTTTGGTTTTCCCTGTGACAACACTAACTTTCTTATTTTAGAACACCCTGTATTTGTTGCATTTTTGGATTCTACAGTCTTTTAAAAGTATAATTTGTGATGACTTGTGAATATACACTGCGCGTCAAAATTATCGCATAATAAGTAAAAAAATCTAAAACGCCTTTACCAATCTTTATGAAATTTTGTATAAAAATACTTCAACTTATATTTCAGTTCGAGGGTTTTTCGAGAAAATATTTTTAAAGCCCTTTTATTTAATAATAAAAAACGTTCGAAAAATAACTTGGGGATTTTTTAAAAGTAAATATGCTTTTAAAGACCGTATTTTTGAAAATTTTGTACAAATCAAACGAACAGTAACGAAGATACAGCGGTTTAAAGTCGGATAAAATGACCACTTTTTGATTATTTTGCTAAAAAGACGTCATTTTTGACGACTTTGAAGCGCTGTATTTTCTTTACTGTTTATTTGATTTGTACAACATTTTTAGGGTATACTAACAAAAATACGGTCTTTCACAGCATATTTTTTATTTACTTTAAAAAAATTTCCCTTTAATTTTTTTTAAAAGTATTTTCATTATTAAATAAAAGGGCTTCAAGGATATTTTCTCGAAAAACCGTTATAAACACGTAAACAGAGATATAAGTTAAAGTATTTTTATCAAAAATTATATAAAGATTGGTTAAGGCGTTTAAGAGTTGAATTTTTTTACTTGTTATTGTGTATTAATTCAAAAAATCTATACGTATAGTATCCATCTCTATATTAATAACTAAGCTACAAGTAAATTAGATATATATTTTTTATATTTTTTTATATATTTAAAAATATTTTTGAGTTATTAAGCATTTAATTTAAAATGAACTGAAACATTGTGTTTCATGAGCTGGATATCCCACTTCTGATATCGGTTAAAAACAAGTCAAAAAAGGCAGCTGAAGCTGTGTTTTGGCTTTTAAAATTAAAATTATTGGTATTTAAAAATAAAAAAGTTTTTTTCCAAGCTTACAAAAAGTCATTTTAAATTTTTGTTTAGAGATTTTTGCGGTTTTTTAAAACATTTTTTTAACAGTCGAAAACTTAAAAACCTCCTAATAACAATTACATAATTTAATTAAAATTTTTGCGTAATCAATATATTGGCGAAAAAAGCGTAGAATCTTTTTAGCAGAGGTTTGCATCAGTTGTGATTAAGAATTACTTTACATTTTGCCATTATTCATAAAATATACAACTCATTAGGACCGTTGCAAACCTCTCGTGCAAACCCACCTTAACCGGTAGAAAATCTCCACAGTCTGCCGGTCAAGTGTGCGGCGCGCTCAGCGACAACTTGGCAAAATTACCGCGAGAGGTCCCTGGCTATGCGAACTTATTTATATATATGTGTCTTGGATGCGCGCGCGCTGGCGATTTAAAATTAACCCCGCTCATTTTCGTGTGCACTATTTCGGCTAACAGCGCTCATCTGTTTTTATCTAGGCGTGCTATTTGAAAGCCATAGAGACGAGACCGGACTTTGCGGTCGCCTGGAGCAATCTAGGTTGCGTTTTCAACGCGCAAGGCGAGATCTGGTTGGCCATACATCATTTCGAGAAGGCCGTGGGATTGGATCCCAACTTTTTGGACGCCTACATCAATTTGGGGAACGTTCTCAAAGAGGCCAGGATTTTTGACAGGTAAGTCGATTTTTCTATCGAAGTGGTCGAAGGGGCGGAGCTTGCTGCCTCTAAACTGGCAGCACATACATTTTATAAATTTCGGACTTTTGAAAATTTTGGAATTGTTGGAAATTTTGATAAAAAACTAAATTTCTGATATTTTATGAATTTTGTGAATTTAAAATTTTAGTAATTTTAAAATTCTTTTAAAATAATAAAAGTCTTGTTGATATAAATTTCGGATTTTTTTAAATTTTGGAATTTTTAAAATTTTCGGAAATTTTTAAGGAAAACTAAATTACTGATATTTTTTAAAAATTTTAAAATTCTTTTAATATAATCAAAATCTTGTTAATATAAATTTCGGATTTTTTAAAAATTTAGTTACTTAAATTTTGCTAATTTTAAAAATCTTTAAATTTAAAACATCCAAAATCTTCTTGATATAATTTTACAAATTTTGTGAACTTTTTATACTTTATGAATTTTAAAATTTCCGGAAATTTTTAAAACTTTTGGGTATTTTGAAATTTTAGGAAATTTTATACAGTGTGTCTACTTAAGTTGGAACCATACGGAGCCTTTTTTATTATCGGTTTTATAAAAAAGTTATATTTTTAAATTTTGTAAATTTTGATAAATAACTAAATTTCTAATATTTTATAAATTTTGTGAATTTAAAAATTTTGAAAATCTTGTAAATTAAGATTTTGAAAATTTTAAAATTCTTTTAAATTAAGGGGCCGTCCATAAATGATGTCACACGTTTTTTTAATATTTTTGACCCCCCCTCCCCCTCTTGTCACAAAGTGTCACAAATGATGGGACCCCCCCCCCTCCCCATTGGCGTCACGTCACACTGATTTAATTTTTATGTAAGGTATACCCAGCGAAATTTTTGCTTAAAATAAAATAAAATATTTTTATAATTTTGTGACATCACAACCTCCCAAACCCCCCCGCCCCCGGCTGTCACAAACTGTCACATTTTCGACGACCCCCCCTCCCCCCTAAGTGTGTGACATCAAAATGTTGTTGATGTAAATTTCAATTTTTTAAAATTTGTAATTTTTAAAATTTCGGAAATTTTTAAGGAAAACTGAATTAATGATATTGCTAATTTTAAAATTCTTTTAAAATAATCAAAATCTTGTTAACATAAATTTCGGATTTTTAAAAATTTTCGGAAATTTTGAAAATTTTGTGAATTTTAAATTTTGCCAATTTTAAAAATCTTGAAATTTAAAACATCCAAAATTTTGTGTACTTTTTATACTATGAATTTTAAAATTTTCAGAAATTTTTAAAACAATTTAAATTTTGGATATTTTGAAATTGTATGAAATTTTATACAGTGTGTCTACTTAAGTTGGAACCATACGGAGCCTTTTTTATTATCGTTTTTATAAAAAAAGTTATATTTTTAAAGTTTGGAAATTTTGATAAAAAACTAAATTTTTAATATTTTATAAATTTTGTGAATTTAAAATTTTTGAAAATCTTCAAAATGAAGATTTTGAAAATTTTAAAATTCTTTTAAAATAATCAAAATGTTGTATTTTTTTAAATTTTGTAATTTTTAAAATTTTCGGAATTTTTTAGGGAAAACTAAATTACTGATATTTAAAAAAAAAAAAATTTTTTTAAATAATCAAAATCTTGTTAACATAAATTTCGGATTTTTTAAAATTTTCGGAAATTTTGAAAAAAACTAAATTTCTGATATTTTCAAAAATTTAGTGAATTTTAAATTTTGCCAATTTTAAAAATTTTGAAATTTAAAACATCCAAAATCTTGTATTTTAAAAATTTTGTGTACTTTTTATACTTAATGAATTTTAAAATTTCCGGAAATTTTTAAAACAATTTAAATTTTAGATATTTTGAAATTTTAGGAAATCTTATAAAGTGTATCTATTTAAGTTGGAACCATACTGAGCCTTTTTTATTATTGGTTTTATAAAAAAAGTTATTCTTGATAAAAAGTTCTGCATGGCCTAAATCCTAAAATTACACTTTTTAGCCCCATCTACCTCTAAAAAATATATCCATTGAGACTATTATTTAGGCAAACTAAAGGTAATTCTAATGTTATTCTCAGCAGTAAAGTTTCGCTTTAATGTCGAAAGAGACATATGACAAAGGAGACATTTTTCACAATAAAAAAGCCTATTTTCCAAGTGACACAATAAATGCACATAAAATAAAGAAATTGGTTTACTTTATATAAAAAAAATTAAATACTTACCGAGTAAATGCCGTGACGAAAGATAACGTTCAAAAACACACGCTGCTTGTTTCTAACGCGCAAAATAACAATAGGGATACCATTGCCTGCAGCGGAGCCATCTCGTGCCATAGTTATAAACTACAAGGGTTACAGAGTCCTTTTATTTGTAATGCTAAACTCCAGTGTATTTTATAACAAAGCGGTTTTTATGTAGGTGGTTTATAACGAAGTAGACATTAAATACCTATAAGGACAGGTATGGTCACGCTTAAAAAATTATTTAGACATTTTATTACATTCTTTATTAGTACCTAGGATTAATTGTTATTTCAACTTTTAACCGTAATTAAGACATTACAAATATTTTTATATTTAATTGAAAAATGTTCTATTAATTTTTGTTATTTTTAGTTCATCACTAGTTATAAGAAATGTTAGGGACAACTGACAAATGGCATAGAGCCTTAATGGTATAATGATATAATTTTTTTTAAATTTTACCACACGTTAAATCATTATAAATTACTTTTAAATTTTTATGCTATATGGATGTATTTGCATATCTGAATGAACTTCTCTATTCTGATTATTTTTTGTAACACTTTTTGATTTTAGCAAAAGTCATCTTTTTATCGAACCTCGTATAGGATTGCAAAAAATTTATATCTGATTATTTTATTTTGGGATTTAGTCCATACAAAACTTTTTCAAGAATAACTTTTTTTATAAAACCAATATATACTAAAAAAGTTTTCTATATGGTTTCAACTTAAGTAGACATACTGTATATTTCGGATATTTTAAAAAATTTGAAACTTTTATAAATCACGAATTTTTGGAAAATTTTGGATACTTTTAGAATTTTGAAAATATTAAAATTGCAATGATTTTATAAATTTTGAATCCTGAGAAAAGAGGACCTAATTTCACAGTCATAATTTTCGCAAAACCTTTCCAGACTGACAAATAGCCTTTTCTTTTTTATTGCTCACGAAGCTTCGTAAAGGTGACTGAAGATAAATGTAATCCCTTTATATTATATAATATTATATGCTACGAAACGCGAAAAATTCCAACTCTAAATATTTTAGTGGAATTTTTATTCTGGAAATAGAGACAATAAAGAGACTTATATGGGTTTTATACTTTTATTGTTAAGCTTTGAGTTAAGTTTATTGTTAAGTTTTTGAATTGTTTTATATTTGAAAGTAATTTTAACATTATTACTCAGTAAATGGGTTTAATGAAATCCTCTCGATTTAGGGTAAGATATAATGTAGATAATTTAATTCTATCCAACCCACATAATGACCCCAAATAAGCCTTCCAATACTCAATTTAGATTTTCCCTGGATATGTGGATAAGCTTCAGCGTTATTAAAGACTTTTTTCCTTAGAAATTTAATCTGTATTTTCTTGATGGTATTACTATGTAATTTTGTTCTTTAAAAAAAATATATGTAACTAAATCTAATTATTGCAATTTGAAACAGCTACGTTACATCCCTTTTTATTTCTTCCTCCAAATTAAAAAGAAAACTAATAAGAATAAAACCACAATGCTGTGTACTGGAAAATCGTTATTTCCAACGTGCAAAATCCTCCAAATAGATTTTTTTTAATTGCGAACTCGAGCTTTTAAACTTATATAACTTCAAGGCACCAATCCAAAATCAATATGCCCACTTGTACATTTCATGATCGATTTAGCGAATATGTGACGCGTAACAACTAATATTAAAAGCTAAATCAAATAATAGCTGATCCTTGAAAAAATAGTATATTATGTATCAAGTTTGATAAACGCCATTTTATACACGAATTTAATTTATAATATTTGAGTTTATAGAAAAGTTTATAAACGAGGTGCATACTATACTTTTTCTACGACAAATACTTATTATTATCTTAAAATGATTTAAATCAAAAATTTGTGTATTGAGCGCCATCTATGAAACAATAGGGGAATTTGTGTCACCGTCAAATGTCAAATTTTTATGATTTATAGACACAATCATAAAGGTTATAAATCGAAATGTATTTCTTGAAAATTGACAGTTTTTCTCAGTGAAAGAAAAGAAAATGTTTTATGAGCACTTTACAGTGGAGTCCGTGCCCGAATTTAAGTTATAGTTTACTTCCGGCGAAATTAAAAGGTCAGTACAATGTTCATATAAACTTTTCAAATATTGGCGTTGAGAAACTATTTAATACTTTTGTATTAAGATAATAAAATAATTTTCACATTTAGTATTATTTTACAAGAAAGGCACTTTATTTTAACGATTGTATGACATTTGACAACTGTCAACTAACTTAAAACTAACTTCAGCCCGTGACTAAAAACCTGTTGCCAACTTTAGCCCGTGACTAAAGCGCCATAAAGCCACAACTTGTCAATGTGTATTTAAAACGAATATGTGACGCGTAACAACTAATATTAAAAGCTAAATCAAATAATAGCTGATCCTTGAAAAAATAGTAAACGTCACTTAGTGTCATGAAAACATGTACGATAAAGGGCGTTTTAAAGGTGCGAGTAGAAAAAATAATTTAAAACCATATTATATGAATATGTTCATATTCATAAAAAATATTTACAACCGTTTTTATAAATCAGATTCTACATGAAGTAAAAACCTTAAATTTAGAACGAAAATGTACCCCAATTCGCGTTTTCAGCAAGGTTATCCGGGTAATCTAATTTAAAGAAGTGATATAGATTTAGTTTAACATAAGTTTGGGAAAATAGCGCAATTAATGTGAAGAAACATTTTAATTAAGTTTT